ATTATATACCAGTCGGCTCGCCGGCTGACGCCGGCGCGCCTCCTTCTGATACGGCCCGGCTGCGCCGGGCGGGCGCGGCTTCGCCGCGCGTATTTTCTTTCACATATCATTCGTGTGTGGGCGCTCGTCTTGACCGGTCGGTTTTGGATCAATGGACTCTACCCCGGCCCAAAATCTGCCCAAAAAAAGGAAGGTACTATCTCCAATAGCCACTAAGGCCTCAAACTCTTCCGCTGATCAATCGCGACAGTATTCTACTGCTAGAAAAGATTCATGGCATTCTAGTCGACAAGGCTCCAGAGGTAATTCCGCTCCTGGATCAGTTCGTAAGTTCACTACCTTCACTTTCGCATGAAGTGGTTGAAGCTGATAAACGCCAAAGATCAATTGTTCTGTACGGCGTTCCTGAGGCCGAGAAAAGTCTTGCACCTTCTCGGCGTCAGGCCCATACAGAATCCTTTGTAAGCAGTGTACTCGATACCCTGGATATTGAAACCCGCCCGGTAGAAATATACCGGATGGGTTCCATTAACCAGGAAAGGCCTAGGCTAGTTAAATGTGTATTTTCATCACGGCGTTTTCTTGTTGAAGCATTGTCAAAGGCTCGTAAACTGCGTGTTATACCTGCGTATAAAGATGTATATATCCGCAAATCAATGACGCCGGACGAGCGCAAAAAAGAGAGTGAGCTAAGAGCTCAGGCCCGTGAATTGAATCAGAAGGAACACAACGGTGAGCGTTTCTACGTTGTCTATAAAGGAGAACTGATGAAGGCATCCGATATACCAGCTTTAACTTCCAAACGGAAAGGGTTTACTCCGTTTTTTCAAAAAAGCCTGTCATCACTTCTTCCTTAACTTCCAAATGTTTGTTGACAAACGCACGTAGCCTCATAAAAAAAGTTTCTCATCTTCATTGCCTTTTGAGTTTTCTAAAACCAGACCTAGTTTTTATAACAGAATCCTGGCTTAGCAGTAAAATTTCGGATTCCGAATTGAGCGCTGATCTCCCCTACTCGGTCCTTAGGAAAGATAGATCAACCCGGAAGGGTGGTGGTGTGTGCGCATTGATTCACAGCCTTGTGCAATATGAAAAAGTCTCCTTCAACTACCAGGACATGATATCGGATGTGATGTGCTTTGACATCTTGCTGCCAACACGGCATCGATTTATCCTGGTCTATCGCCCCCCGAATTCTGTAAATGCCCAAGACGAGACCCTCTTATCCGTCATATTCGATCTCGCCGCAGCCGTGCCATTCGGCACTACTGTGTTGGGAGATTTTAACTTAGACATCGATTGGCACAACTACACAGGGGGGTCTCCCAGTGCTGAAAGATTTTTATCGATTTTCGATGCCCTGTCACTGCACCAATTCGTCGACTTTCCAACCCGGCAAGAAAGAATATTAGACATAGTCCTCTCCCCTCTAGATAGCATCACCCAGATTCATCCCTTACCTCCATTATCCTCGTCCGATCATAACATAGTTGTGTTCTCCTTAGCCCACAAACAGCAAAAGGAGGCAACAATTATGTTGAGGGATTTCCACCACATGGACAAAGATGCCGTAGCAAATCATCTCCGAAGCATTAACTGGATGTCAGTATTTTCCAACTATGTAAGCATGGATGATATATATGCAAGGTTTTGCAACGTTATTCATAATGCTATTGAATCTTACGTCCCGGTTAAGCATATTACAGTGCAGAAAAGGGATTATCCTAGACACATAATGAACTTAATCAAGCAACGTGAAAGAATTTTCAACAGCTCACTCAATCCAACGAAGTCAGTAGATTTTTTTGAAGTTAGCAGAAAACTCGACTACCACCTCAAGCGCTTTCTAGCCTATAAAGTTAAAAAGTTGGCAGAAAGAGGCAACCTAAAATACTTAGCTGCCTATGCGAAAACATTTCTTAAGCAAGGACCAGTCATGCATATTCTCGAAGGGCTAAATGGTGAAAAGTACATAACAGATGAGGATAAATCGGAAGCTCTCGCGGACTACTTTGAAAGCGTTTTCGTTCCAGATTCCGGGGACTACCCGAGTCTTCCCCCCATCACCAACAAGTGTTTCGAATTCCCAATCGTCACCCCGCAAACCGTTTGCAAACTCTTACGATCCCTCAGGCCTGGATTTTCCTTAACATCGGATGGCCTACCACAATTCTTTTTCAAAGTGTTCGCAGAAGAGCTATCCGAACCTCTTACTCATATGTACAACATCTCCCTTCTCCTTGGACAGGTCCCATCTATATGGAAGCATGCGATAATAACTCCTATCCCCAAGGCAAAAGACTCTAAGCTCATTTCCAGCTTCAGGCCCATAAGCATTTTGCCCACTCCACTCAAAATTCTAGAGAAAATTGTCAAAAACTGCTTACTCGCATGGGTACTGAAACTTCAGTGCATTCCGCTTGAGCAGCATGGTTTCCTCCCTGGCTCCTCCACTTGCACACAGCTCATAGACTGCACTCATTCCTGGATTGAAGCGCTCAACTCCGGGCAAAAAGTTGGAGTTGTGTACTTTGATTTGTCTAAAGCTTTTGACAGTGTGAATCGCTCTGCCCTCCTCGCGAAACTGAAAAGCATGGGCGCTCAAGGGAATGTTTTGCAATGGTTTCGGTCCTATTTGAGTGGATGGAAAATGAGAGTACGTACCACAAACTATGTGTCAACACCTAGAGACTGTACCTCAGGAGTTCCGCAAGGGGGTAGTTTGTCCCCACTACTTTTCCTGATATACACGTACGACCTCGTTAACTTCCTGAAGATTGATCATAAGCTTCATGTTGCAGCCTACGCAGACGACATAAAAGTGTTTATTACCTACGATGACAAAAGTAGAGAAGAAGCTCAAAGACTTCTGAATAAAGCAGTCGAGAATATGCATAAGTGGTGTGCTCAATGGGGACTCAGGATTAACCTTCAAAAAAGCCATCTTTTCTCGTTGGGAAGCCCACAGCTTGAAATACGGTTCCCTGATGGGAGCCTAGTAACACCAGTTGACAGTGTCAAAGATCTTCGGTGTCAGTTTGTCGAATGATTTCAAATGGGGTTCTCACGTTCATGATACCTCAGGTAAAGCACTCAGGCTTGTCCACCTCCTCTTCAGGAACATACATACCTCCGACATGTCAACATGGATTAAGCTTTACAAAATGTATGTCCTCCCAATAGTTGGTTACTGTAGCTCGGTATGGAGCCCTTCATTAAACAAGGATATCCAAACAATTGAAAAAGTCCAGAAAACATTCACTAGGATTCTTTTTTATAAAGTATTTCCGAACAGTAGCTATCCACGAACCCTGCCATCGTACCAAGCTAGATTAAAAAAACTTAACTTAAGAAGTCTCTTTTACAGACGCATTCAGGCTGATCTAATTCTAGCGTTCCAACTATTAAAGGGCGAATTGCGCAACAAACCTTCTAAATATTGGACGTTTAGACCAACTAGCGGGCGGCGAGGCACTGTCTGTTTCCACAACATCAGGATGGGCAAATGGCGTCGTGAATTGAGAGCTCATTCATTCATACTGAGAACGGCTAAGTGGATTGAGTCGATTCCTTCTTGGTTAATGGAGCTTGACGATTCGAAGCAGTTCAGAAAACACATCAAAAAGATCGATGTACTGCAAATGTTAGGCATACCTGATATCGCCTGAATTCGTTTTCGTCACTCGTCACTGTCCCGTTCGTTTATATTGTTTCGGCTGCCCCCCCCCTGCTGTCTCTCGATATGCTTTACTCCCTCAGGCTTACCAGCACAGAAGTGACACTACAAAACCCTGTCATGAAAGATCAGTACTAGGAGTCCGCCATATCCCCTGTTAGTGGCTGAGTATAGAAAGGTATCCTGTCCGGCTCAACGCACACCTGTGGTCTGCATGTGACGCTCAACTAACTTGCCGTTTCCACGTGGGAAGTCGGTGTACCCGTGTTTCGGAGTCTCGGCAAGCTCCTATGACCCCGAAAGTGGCGACTGGGCATCTTAGCCGACAGATGCAGTGGGCGACACATCCGGGCATGAGGTATGCGATGCCTTCGATACTTCATATATGACATGAGATGCTTCGGCTGCTTCTTATATTACACATTACCTTTGTCCCTTAAGGACCAACACACGCAACATCAAAGTGGACCTTCTTGGCTAGCAAGCCTCTTAATTATCAAGCTTTGTCATTTGGATTGTTCCTAAGATGCGGCCTCACGGATAATAAGTCAGCGGTGTCGGACCTTTCTTTCCTAAGCCATCTCTCTTTTTTGTGTTGCAGGTTCTCATTGAGTTGTGTTAATTTATTTTATTTTTTTACATTTTTTTTCCATTTCTCCTCTTAGTCAAGATTGCCATTTTCACTTACCGCGTTCTTCATCAGTTGGCTGACTGTGGCGCGTCCATTGGGCGCAAAAATAAATAAATAAATAAAATATTAGTGTCTAGCTAGTTCAGCCTTCGATGACGAGAAGACGAGTGCAGGTTGTGTCAGGCTTAGGCAGCCGCATCCGCCTCAACAGAAGCATTTGGGTTTTGAGGAAAAAGTTCGGAAAGGTTCCCGGAAAATTCGTCCCCATACCAGCAAGACGTGCCTGAAAAAACAAACCAAATTGAAGGGTAAACAAAGGGATTGGACGGGAGAGGCTCGTATTGAGGGCCAACCCTTAGGAGAAGGGGGCTGGAATGGTCGCACCGACTTCGAACAAAAAAAATAATTCCAAGCCATGTGATGTGCAGCTGGTTCAGGGGGATTATTGTGGTTTTGCCATGAGGATTCATGACGTTTCGATGAATCAAGTGAAGATGATTTTCATTTTACGTCAACGGTACCGGGTCCTACAATAAGTGTTTTCTACTGAAAGTGATACTTGAAGCGACTCTCAACGGTTTGAAGCGATGTTTGGAGGAAAGGCCAGCGAAATGTCAAAACTAATTAGTCAAGACACTGATTTCACCTGCAAGAGGTAATATTTTTGTCACAAAACTTTCATCCCACTCTATATAATGAGCTGTGTCCGTGTGTGTATGTGTGTGTCTGTCTGTCTGCCTGTCACGAAATTCATAGCGCAGGTCCCAGTAGCAGTGAGCATGATTCCAGGAAGTGATGTAGCGAGTGCGGCGGGAGCACTAACGGTGAGAGACAGGAAGTGATATCAGCCGAAGACATTCAATAAGAGGCATTAGAAGGGGATGACCACCATATACATAACGTGGGTGACAGCATCAATGAGGTGCTGATTTCAAGACGAGATATTAATAGGCTATGGAACACGAACATCTGCTTGTTGGAGGTGGACACGGAACTATGAGCTGCTGATAAGATTCGTCAGGGGGTAGGGAAGGTAGGCAAGTGGCGTTGACGTGTTGCAGCGCGCATCAGAGCATATCAGCGTGGCTATTGATTCGCAGCAGTGATATAAAGGGTGAAATGCCGGACATGCAAATAGATGGAGTGAAAATAACGGCGATAGCAACTAGTAGGGCATGACAAGGAACGTTGCAGTCGTCGTACCTTTCAAGGTGGTGGCGCTTTTGCATGACCAAACTATAAAAATTTTGGTGACAAGGACATTGATGGGGTACGAGGTAGATCGATTATCATCGAAATAAAACAGCAAAGACTAGTCAGTCAGATAGCTAGCATCAGTAATCGTGTTGGGTACTTTACAGATATCCAAAATATGTTGAGCAGAAGATAACTGCAGCCACCCGTACTAGTCTCCCTAGTTGCAGCTCCCACCCACTTCGAAGATGCCTCTAGTAATTATAATCGATAGGTTTGTTGAAGTCGGATACGAGTCGGATGGTAGCTCCTGCCTGGTCGCACCTCTTTTCGTAATGACTCAATCCGGTCATTTCTAGCTGGTCCCGCTTCCTCTTTCAGCGAGGCTTTTGGCGTTCTCTATCTTATTATTTACTTTTCTGAATTAGTTCTTTCACTCCTGGAGAGAAAAAGGAGTAGCGGAGGCGTCAGCCGGCGAGCCGACTGGTCTTCAAATAAACCATTTCTAAATTAGAACTTTCTGATCTAGTTTTTCTGGAAGGTGCTCATTACAGCTTACAATGCGTCGAGACAAAAAACAGGCACAAGGATTGAAGAGACAAGCAAACAAATTGTTAAACGTGATTTCGTCGCCGGATGACAGCAGCAGCGAAAGCAGTGCATTGCATGTACAGGTATTGGACACAGTTTATTTAACCACTGCGTATCCTATAAAAATGTTGTCCCTTTCCATACCCACCAATAGTGTTCCCGACCCATGATATATATTACCTGCTGGAACTGACTTCCTACTGTCGTTGTCACCCTCGCCACGAGTTTGGGGCCCTTTATAGTATCTTATCGGATCTTATCAGCTGCTGTGTAACGTTTTGCCCCCACCTATGGTGTTCCCGTCCAACCTTCTATATCTCCTTTGGAACTGACTTCGTTCAGTTGTTATGATCCGCGCTATGAATTTATTGACTCTCCTATTTTGAAGCCAATGAAGTTAGCGGACAAACAAACATACATATTTATGCATACATACATACATATACTTAACATCACCGCAATTGTCGGGTCGCAATCAGCGGCTCGCACCTGCGGCGTTTCCATCATTGGTTGTCTCCTCCCTGAATCGATCTTTACCCGATCGCCATTGGTAGAGCAACGAGGCCGAACGCCCATTTGGACCGCGCTGCACAGCCGCCTCCGACAGTCCGCAATGATGAGGACTGTACATACATGCATATCGACACACAAAGCTATTACTTCATATGGTTTCATTGAAGGTTCTCCGCAGATCTTCGCCCGTTTTGCTTCGTTTCGTTTCGCTCCTCCTTCATTTCCGCCACTATATAGCACCCGTGCTACTATTCAACCGAGTACCACACTATCGTGCCTTTGAGCTCACTAGCTGATCCCGAAATATTTGGTAGTTGCAGTACTTTCTGAGAAACCCGCTGTCAGCAGCTGTGCCCACTATAGTATGTTCGAGGAAACGGAGAAATGCTCCGTCGAAAAGCGAATTGTCACTGTTTCAACTATATGACGGACCATCAAGAGCGCGGGCACGATTGCAAGCATACGGTATTTACAGTATGTCGCACCCGATGCCGCGAAGTGTACCTGTGAACAAACTACATCCTAGTTCGCGAACAAGACTGCACATCATGGTGTTCAGTGAATACTTACGCGTACTTCAAAAAATAGGAAATGTGCCTGCATCTCCCTGCATTAATACTGTTATTATCTATCGCTGCAATCCTTCTATTCTATAAAGCACTAACTCTGTGTGTCGGTTTGTCGGTATGTATGTATGTTTGTATGTCTGTCCGTCCGCAAAATGCTTCACGGGATTAAACACGTTAGTGAAAGAAGAAAACGACCGCTAGCCAAACCGGGAACCCATCGGTGCAGATGTATCAATCCAATGTTTTGATTGTGATAACAGCCTCCGCTATATAAGAGCACCATGTAGCGCACTCCAAGCCATTGCACGAGCTGCTGGCTTGGCAGCTGGATGTGTGCTCCTGCAGGGGCAGGGTGGGGTGGAACGAGGGGGGGGGGGAGTGACCCCTCCCCTCTGCTTCCTTCCCCTGCACGTGCTCAGCCGGACCTGATCATATGCAAGTGAAGGAAGTAGTGGGGAGGGGGCGTAGCGCACGCTTGAGTAGAGTAATAGTAGGAGAGGATGATACAACCGCTAGCAAAACGCAGGAAACAAACAAGGTAATCCATAATAAAGTAACAATCTAGGATGTTGTTCTGATTGTGATAGTACCCTCACCCTAGACAAGACAACCATTTAGTACACCCCAAGCCATTGCTCAAGCTGCTCGCGTGGCAGCTGGACGTGAGCTCGCGCGTGGGTTGCTCCATCTACTACGATTCGATCAAAGCAGCGCATTATGAGTAGCTAGGTGGAAGAACAAATTCCGTTCCCATTATAGGTGGCGCTTGGCGAAACAAACAGCTAAAAATAAAGGCGGAGCATCGCACACGTTAACGGGCGGCGATCCGACTGGTTTACTATGTTTTTCGATTACAGTTGACTGACTACGTTCTCAACGAGGTGCTTCGTATGGCTCCTGAATGCGATCATGATCCTTATGATGGGTGAGTTGGAGCTCTTTTTGGTGAATTAGGCACGCCTCAAGCACAGCAAGTGAATGAAACGCCGCACGGTTCTCTGGTTCGATTCCTCTCCTACTCAGTCCACGCTAAGCCTTGCATAAAGGAAGAACGAGTTCACAGCAGTGTCCAGCACTGGATTTATCTAGTCACAAATAATGCGAAAACTGAGCATTTCACGGAGGAGCGCAAGGAGAACCGCCTTCTATTCTATAAACCAGTAACTTTGTGTGTCGGTTTGTATGTTTGTATGTAGGTTTGTAGGTATGTATGTTTGTCTGTCCGTCCGCACAATACTTCACGGGTTCGAGTTCGCTGGAGGAGAAAACGACCGCTAGGCAAACCGGTAACCGATTGGAGGATGTAGCAATCCAATGATTTGATTGTGATAACAGCCTCCGCTATATAAGACAACCATTCGGTACACTCCGAGCAATTGCAGCGAAGCTTCTGGAAGGCAGCTGGACATGGTGCTTGTGGCGGGGCAGGGTGGGGCCCAGATCGTCCTCTCCTTCCTCCTGCACGTGTTCAGCCGGACCTGAGCACATGTATGGGAGGGAGGCAGAGGGAAGGAGTGGTGCGCGCTTCAGTTGAAACGCGCACCAAGGGATGAGGAACAACCGGTAGAACCGTATCTAATAATGTTACGGTTATATAACTGAAAGGTTGTTTTGGTTGTTTTAATAACACTCTAATCCACTATATAAGAGAAGCCATACATTCCATTCGCACACCGCATTGTAACGGGTTCTGCGCGGGCAGTGACGTGAAGCGCGTGCAAGGGGCAAGGTGGGGGGGGAGGGTGGAGTGGCGAGTACGGAATGGGGTGAGGTGAGGAAGGTGGGAGTGAGTACCGAGTGACCTTTTCCATCGCTCTCCCTTGCGCCGTGCTCAGTCGAATCTGAGCCCATGCAGGTGAAGGAGGCAGATGGATTGAATCGGACAGACTGGGCACAGTAAGGAGATGCGTAGCGTACGCTTGAATAGGAGCAGGCGGCAAGAAAGAAGGAAAGAACCGCTAGCAAAACTGCAAGGTGATCCATGTTACAGCAAGCAAGAAGTTGTTTGGATGTGAACAGCAGTCCTGTTGAGCCAAACATGTGATAGACTCTGTACTATTGCACGGAGCTGCTCGCTTGAGAGCTGGACGTGAGCACGAGCAAGGCGGTCGGTAAGAACAGTGGCGGCGTAGTGTCCTATGTTGCATCAGCTGCTCACGTGCGGCTGCCTAGGCGTGTGGCGATTCTATGTCGAACGATAAGTGGGTCGTCGGGCGGCTGGCGGGAGCCGGCGGCGTGGTGGCGCAGGCGTACGAGTTGTGTGCGCGCGTTAAATATTGTCAAAAGAGTTTACGATCCTTTACAATTTGAAAGAGTATCCTATTTTGGTTACTTTTTTTTCCTGTTATCTCTTTCGCTATTCCTATTCCATGTTCCATTATGATTATTGAATTATCTGTTACTCTAAGTTAGCTTTGAAACAACGTAATCCTTGCTCGGCAGTACAACTCGGGAGAACGTAATGCAACGCGGATTGGCTGCGCGCGCGTGCCGCGCGAAACGCCGTAGGCCGAGCGTGTGCGACGTGACGTGTCATGCGACTGGCAGAATCGCCGGGTCCTGCGTAACAGTGCGGTGAGTGAGGCGCCGGTCATAGGGTCATCAGTGGGATATGATATGGTGAGGGGGATACCAGATGAGAACGGCGCGATTAGAAGCACATAGCGCCTGCGGCGGTAAGGCGTCTACGGTTGCGATAAGATGAGAAGAAAATGGATCGACCGCAATCGGAACTGAACCGATTAATGTTGCATTATCAAATTGTAGCGTTTTGATAGTCATAACACCCTCCACAACATAACACAACCATTTAGTGCACTCAGAACCATTGCACGGGCTATTCGCGTAGCAGCTGAGCGTGACCTGTAGGGTGGCTGAGCGGGGAATAGCTGAGGTTAGTTTGGGGATAGGTGAGGTGAAGGGGTACCATATTGGCGCAACCGATGCTCGCCTGAGCAGGAGCACGCAGCATCCATGGCTGTCATAAGATGGGGAAGAGAGTAATCGATTATTCACGACCAGATTTTGAACTTTTCATTACGAGAGTGTCCTGCGACCATATGGCGCGTTTCCACATTTATGTTGATTAGAGAGCCAGCGGCTTAGTCACAATGAAGAGGCATCATAAAATCCTAAGACAGCAGTATCGCCTGCTTATGCCTACTTTGCTCCTTTCTTTCACGAGCTAAGAAGTGAGGCTCTAAAGCAGTTGCAGCCCGGCGAAGCCGGGCTTCCAAGAAGGAGGAGAGCTCGGCGTTAGCCGGGCGATCCGACTGGTCACTACATATTCCTCTTTAAAACACTTCTTTACCATTTCAGAAGAGGTAGGTACCATTCGAGGAAGACTTGATAGTTGCGAGTCTCCGCTCACTTCTCCGCCCATGCCGTTATAGCGGAGTGCACTTGAGTGGTGGCCACGAGTGATTATCTCGACGAAAGCAATGTGAGTAAAGTCCCAGAGCTAGAGCAATCACCGTTCCGTTGCTGGCGAATCTTCAAAGACGCTTTTGAACTCCATTGGGAGACGCTAAAGTACTCGAGTGCGAAATTTTCTTAGATAACTACTTGCAAGGGACATCTGCCTTCCGAGTCAGCAATTTATTATAGATGCGAATTAACAGCGGTAACCGTACAACCGTGCAAAGATAAGAGTTTCGGTCCCGTGAACGCAAAGAGCATTCCTCATTACAGTACTGCCATCACGGCCCAGGTTGTGGTTGGAGAGCGGAATATGCGTCGCCCTCGCTGCCAGCTTCACCCTGAAGTTACCTTTCCCAAAGCCGCGGAGGTCTGGGTCAATGGTGGGACATACATGCTAGCTGTGCCAAAGGCGGTACGACACAGGCTAATAGTTTCTCCTCAAACTTGTGTTGTTAAATCAGATGTGTGGGACTCACCGAATTACGGTTGCGGTACCCAATTATACGCGTTCAGGGAAACATTTCATTTCCGCAACACTGGGATGCTGTGTACCTTCCTCCCCTGTCACCCTGAAGTCATCTTGACAACAATTTTTGGGGTCCCAGACGAAATCGGTACTAATCAAATACTGTTTCCAGACTAGCAATTAACAACGCATGGAAAACTTTGATCGAAAGCGGTCTCTTGAAGAAACACTGCAGACCTCATTTGAAAGCGACGGTAGGTGCT